GAAATAAGCCAGACAGAGAAATACAAACACTGTATGATTTCACTCATATGTGGAAGATAAAATAACTCATGGACAGCGAGAACAATTTAGTGGTTACCAGAAGGGAAGGGGGTTGGGGGTGGGCACAAGGGGTGAAAGGGTACATTTATATGGTGACTGACAAATAATAATGTGCAACTGAAATTTCACAATGTTATAAACTATTATGACCTCAATAAAAAAAAGAAAAAAATCCTCTTTCAATTAAATTACTTTTTATAATAACTCAACTTTTCCACAAGATATCGCATTTACAAAGTATTGCCTCAGACGGTATATTTTCTCCTTACTACAGCCTTGTAAGGTATGTTTATGATTGACTCTTTCCATAACACAAAGGTCACTTGTCCTATCAAGGCATTCTTTGCAGCTTGCATATGCAATGAGGATAGTGGATAAAGCTAACTATGGGAAGGCAGTGTTGCAAATGGTTTAAGAGCACAGTCTCTGAAGTCTGCCACATCTAGGTTCTTACCTCTATTTTGCCATCACTTAGCTGGCTACCTTGGGCAAATTACTTTATCTCTTGGAGCCTTAGTTTCTTTATCTATAAAATGGAAACAATATTAAGACCTACCTCATAAGGTTTGAGGATTGCATTAGACAATCCATGTAATCCATATGGCAAAGGTTCCCAAAATTTTTTGGTTCATGGTACCCTTAGTGTATCAGTAATTGTTTTGGCAGGACTCCTAAGCCAAAAGAAACACTTAACACTTCTGTTTATTGAGTAATTGGGTGCAAACATCTTTTTTTTTAAATATCTTTTTTTTTTTTTTGTGAGGAAGATCAGCCCTGAGCTAACATCCATGATAATCCTCCTCTTTTTGCTGAGGAAGACTGGCTCTGAGCTAACATCTATTGCCAATCCTCCTCCTTTTTTTTTTTTCCCCAAAGCCCCAGTAGATAGTTGTATGTCATAGTTGCACATCCTTCTAGTTGCTGTATGTGGGACGCGGCCTCAGCATAGCCAGAGAAGTGGTGCATTGGTGCGCACCCAGGATCCGAACCTGGGCCATCAGTAGCAGAGCGTGCGCACTTAACCGCTCAGCCACCGGGCCGGCCAGCAAACATCTTAATAGTAGTAGTTCACGCCATGTCCGACAGATGTCACTGTGTTTCCCTCAAAAATTTAAAACATCTTACAGTACCCCTGTGAATTGGCTGTGGTACCCTGGGGTGCCTTGGTGCACAGGTTGGGACTAGAACATTGCCAGGAACATAGTGGTGCTAAGTACATGGTATTTATTATTATTGTAAAATGTTTGTGATTATTATTAGAAGGGATTTGGGTACCAAAGAGGATGCTGATCTAGTAGTTTAACTCAGATGTTGATTATCCCTGAAGAGAGAGATGACTCCATTTTTGGTAGTAGTCACTTCAAGTCCCAGGTTTCTTCTAAGTCAGCACCAACTCACCTCAGTCTGGGAGGGGAGAGTGATTTCTATGTGCACAGACAAGAAAACTTCATTCTCAAAGCAGTGCCATATTCTAGCTTTACCACTGCCAAGATTTTCCCACTCCTCTACTCTCACTCATCAGCCAAAAGTCAGTCTTTCAGAAGAGACTTCTGTATGTTAGATCAAAAATACTTCCTTCTGTCTCTACTTGCCCTCTCCCACTCTTATTTTCCTTCCCCTTCCTCCTTTTCCTCTTTCCATATCCCTCTTGGCCAGTGTCTGAAACCTGGCCCCTGCCCCATCATGATGAGGGGAAGCCGGCTACTTAATTCAGGAAAAATGATTGGTTGAACTCTGTTTTGAGTCTCAGCTTGGCCTGTGAGCCAGCAACAACAGTGGGTACTGATAGCTCACTCCTGCATACTTCCTTCCTCTCCCCTAAGGGAGCAGAGGAAAGCAATTTAAACAGGGAGACTCCAGAAGGTGGCCTGTGGGCTTGGGCAACTTTGAGAGGCTGAGGAAAGTGGAAGTGGGGGCTATGCTGAATCTCTAACTCTCAGTAATTGAGGCCCATGGGGGATCTTTGACATTTTCCTAGAGGCTAAAGATGACTTTAGTTCTAGTTGGTTGTTTAGATTCACTGAGAGGAAATCTGATGTTTGAGGGATGAAATAGCAGACCTGTCCATGCACTGTTGACTCTGGGCCTGCTTAGTGCTGGCCAGCAGAGGTCGGGAGTGGCTGGCTGGCTTTTAGCCCCGGCCGGCGGCGTTTGCTTTGGCCGTTGGGGGAAAGAGCACTTTGTGGAAAGCCAGTCTTTCTAGCCAAGGGCCTATTTTTGTCCTGAATCTGTTGAGTCCAGCCTGAAGGCTGGGTCCAGGATCAACAGAGGCCATGGAAAATGGGACTGAATGCCTGGCACCCAGAACTGTGGGCTTTGTCTTCCTGACCAAGGCATTTAGCCCTGAGCTCATGAAGGCAGGAACAATGGGGATCCGAGGTTCTTGTGGCATCAGGGCCAGAAAGAGCTAGCTGCTCTTTGCATGGTCATTGCAGCCCAGGACTGGCTGGAATACATCACTAGGCCTCACCCCTTCCCAGGCTATCCAGTTTGGAAGGTGGATGTGTGGCTAGAGCTGACATAGCTCCCAAAGTGCCTGAGGTCCCCTAAGTGGGAGCCTCCCCACACTGAGGGACCACTAGATCATTGGATCAATATCCTTACCAACCAGACAGATACTATAGGAACACAGAGAGGTATCAGTTAGGATTACTATCTTCTGGAATCTCAACGTCTTTCTGGGGAAACAGGTGATTTTCACAAAGAGATACTTTCAGTACTAGGCAAGGTAGAGTGAGGACCTCGTGTGTAGCACAAAGAAGTGCTGAAGGAGTTCAGAGAAGGTCAAGAGCCCTTGGAGAGATATGGGTGGAGTTGGGTCATGAAAAGTGAGTAAGAACCAGATAAAGATGTGATGAGAGTTCTCTTATGCTCCTAAGGCAGAAATCCTTAGAAACTGACCCAACATGTGTCTATGATTTACTGTAGGATCCTAGCCTCCAACAAGATTGTGTTCAGACTAGCATACCTGTATTGAGATGGTTCTTAACCTGAGTGACCAGAATGATCTGAATTTTTCAGACCACTGCAACTTGTTTAGAGCTGGAATAGAACTAGTGTGATGTCTGGAAGCATGAATCATCTTCCTCAAGTCCTTCTTTTACCCTGTCATTCAACCCTATCCCAATCTGAAACCCAATAGTGGCTCTTCCATTACTCTCAGGATGGTCAAACAAATGTATTTGGTATTCAAGACCTTTCACATTCTGATTCCAACCTTTTCTTCCAGCTGTTCTCTCATTCCTGGAGACTCCCAGCAATTCCATACAGGCTAAATCTCCTCGTTATCCCCTGAATCCCATGATAAGTGACTTAAAGTTATTTGTGGGCTCAGAGGACTTTGGCACCAGTGCCTCCCTCCCTTTGAGAATTTGAGATTCTCTGTGAGGTCTCTTCACTCTCTTTCAAATCCAGCATTCTCATTACATTCTTACTTAAGCTGAGTCCTATTGAAAAGTGATTCTTAGTTGCTGTAGGTCTGGGATCAGCAAACTTATTCTGTAAAGGGCCAGATAGTAAATATTTTAGGCTCTGAGAGCCATAAGGTCTTTGATGCAGCTACAACTCTGCTGTGGTTGCAGGAAAGCAGCCACAGATAATATATAAATGAATGAGCATGGCTGTGTTTCAACAAAACTTTATTTATGGACTGAAATTTGAATTTCATGTAATTTTTCACGTCACAAAATATTTTTCTTTTGATTTTTTCAACCCTTTAAAAATGTAAAAACCATTCTTAACTCACACTCTGCATAAAAATAGGCAGTAGGTTGAATATGGCCCGCAAGGCCTAGTTTGCCAACTTCTGCTTTAGAAGACAGAACTCGGACTACTGGGTGGAAACTATGGGAGAGAGAGTTTGGCTCAAAATAAAAAAGAAAGATCAGAATTGTAAGAAAATGGAATAGATTTCCCAGGAAGTTAGAACTACTCATTTTTCACCAAAGTTACTCAAGCATCACTAGTTAGGGCTATCATAGGAGGACTCAAAGGTCTTGTGCGGGCTTCGACTTAATGATTGCCAAGTCTGTAGGACTGTGATTTTGTGAGTTTTGCTTCCTCCGCATGGCCATCATTTTCCAACTGCTGGCTGTTTTCCTTTTCCTTTTGAAGGTCTGTGTGGTTGTCTCCCACTCTTCCCCACCTAGCATTTGATTATACTGTTTCAATTTACTCCCCAATTTTTTCATGTGTGTATGTACTATTTCCCTTCCAGAAACCCAGGGGTTAATGTCAAAAGGGTGAAGTTTATCAGGCAGTTGCTTCACTGTTGCCTAGCAACCATCATAGGCAGCTGTGAATTACTGCAAAGGCCTTTGTGGGAAGATGGTCTGACCCAGCCATCAGGGCAGAGTAAAGAGCAAACGAGATAATACATGTAAATGCCCTTTATTAACTATAAAAACAGAATTTAATTCCGTCTTACAGAATATCATATCCTCTTTCACTTTACTAAAAGGAATTTAAATTTGCTTCAAGAAATTTTAGCTTTTTATGCTCCCCTCCCTTACACAGTGGTTTGATCCTGCTTCTTAGAAGCATCTCCTTTCTGCCAATCCTCCACGGTAGTCTGATCCTGTTTCACAGACTGCTAGGTCCTTTATGTTCTTACTCTCCCTTCTTCTTCCTATCTTTACCCCAGAGTGGTTTGATGATACCTTATAGAAAAGCATGCCTGTTCAGCTCCGTATACATCTCAGTGGTTTGATCCTGTCTGGAGAGCATCAGCGTCTTTCCCCCTCCTGTCTCATGCCAATGATTTGATCCTACGTCATTGAGCATCAGTTTATTTTAGCTCCTCCCCCGGGGTCTACAGTGGTTTGATCCTACCTCACAGACTATTAGGTCCTTTCTGATTCCCCCTCCAGCATCACCACCACAAATGGTATGGTCCTTAACATCAGGTCCTTTTTGTACCCCCTACTAGTCTTCTAAGCAGATTGAAGCTGATTCATCTTATTCCTGATTCATCTTGATCCCTTCAGTGGCTTGTTCTTGGATTAGCAATGTAGAACTGTCCCAAATGGGTTTAAAGTTGTCAGTACTTGCTCTTGAACAGTTTAATCTTTTCTCACAAGGAAAAATTGGTTCTGACCAGTTCAAATCTATTTTGACCAGTTTAAGCTAATTCTGCAGAGCTGGAGCCTGAGGTCGGCAAACCCAGGAAGATGGCTGAAGACAATGCTGATTCAAGCCAAAGCAAGGAATCAGGTACTTACAGAAGTTGAAACTGAGTTGAGAACTGGGAAAGAAAACAGGTCAAATGAGGCATGAAAATACAGGAGCCAGAGTTGGTTGAGGGGAGGCTCGAAAGAGACTAGTTGCACTCAAACCTATTTTTTTTTTTTTTAGAGTTGAGAGGCCATTTTGAGGAGGTAATGTAGGATTTTGGTCTCTGCCATGGCATGTCTGGGAAGCAGTATGGGAGCTGATACCATCCAGCAGCCCCATCCGGCTGGAGCTGAGACTGGGTTGTATGTGGCCCCATTAATGCCTGGTTATGCAAGCCAGCCCCTGGGGCCATTCTTTGTGTCTGGCCTTATCTCAGGATGCAATTATTAGAGTCCCAAACCACGAATGACAACCTTCCCACCCCTTTAACTGTGGATGGTCATGATGCTTTTTACCTGTTTAGGGATACTATTTAGGTTAGAAGAAAGGACTAGTAAATCTTGAAGAAAAGAGCTAATTACAATAGGTAAGACATGAAGTGAATGAGTCAGTTAATTAGAATTGAGTTGAGGACTATACCTTGCAATTTTCAGAGAGATGTATAAGAGAAGGTGGTAGATTGAAAACAGTATCTAATCTCTCACCTGTGGGACTGGTTCTATTTCCTTATTGTTGTGGGCTGAAGTAGAAATTGACCTGTGTTATCTGGATTTCTTCCAGATGGTTGTCTTTCTGTCTTTCGTGGGGACTGCAGTGTGAAGGGTAGGGATTGAAAAAATAGAGGATAAAAAAATGAAAGTTTTATAGACTGTAGCCTTTCTAATTTGTGTAAAATCTCTGCAGTGGGACAGTGGGCAGGTGGGATGCTTTGATGACGAGTGACAGAATGCTGCAAGATTGAGGGTGGGGTTGGAGCTCTGGTTTGGCGCAATATGGCTCAACATCTTTTCTGCAGATGGATGAGGCTCTTTGGCTGCTTACCTGTAAGGTGAAAAAGAAAGGATTCCTAGAATGGCATAGGAACTTAGCTGCCTGGGAAGGAAATTGGTCTTTCTGTGAGAGAATTTGGCTTAGGATCCAGTAAATTGAAAGATGTCTTTTAGGAAGATGGATTCAGTTAGCCACTGCCTATTTCTTGACAGGGTAGGATGGTGGCCATTTTAGTTAAGGCAGTTGAATGGCACTTCCAAATGTTGAGATAGAAAAGAAAAATCAGAAGATTTGGAGTTAGATAACCCAGGTTTTGAATCCTGTTCTGCTATTTGGTTTGTGGATCTTGAGCAAATTATCTAACCTCCTAAAGACTTGTTTTTCTCATTTGTAAAATAAAATTAATATCTCTGCTCTAAAAAATAAGAACCTTAGAGTTTAATGCTTTTTGGAGCAAAGTAGCTGCCATTTAACATTTTTGTTTGATTAAACTAGATTGTGTGGCAGGGATTATTTTTGTGTATGTGTGTGTATGTGTGGGAAAATAGTACATAATTTAGCTTGATAAAGACAATTTCTTTTTAAATTTTCAGCAATCTTGCCCCCAAATGAAGCTATTGACCTGTTTTGAGGAGCAAAGGAGAAATTGTTCATTGAAGTACTTTATAAACTATAAATCACGATATAGATGTGAACAATTGTTATTTTTATAATAATATGTTGATTATCATTAAAACAACACTCAGAAAAGCCACAGCATAAAGTGGCTTCTGGTGTTGCAGACTCACAGATATCTCTGGTTCCAGATTCAGTTCCTATTTCCTCCTGGACCTGTGGCCACTAGAAACTCTGAGATATGGTATGTAGCATCATAAACTACGGTGACCCACGGTGTGGGGTGGGAGGTGGGGGGTATCATGTCAGAGATATAGGTGATAGGTGTGGCCTTGTGTAAACAGGGTAGGGTATCACAATCTGTCCTTTAGCCACAAACATATTGAAATTATTTTATTGCAAGGCAAGCCTGGAATACCTCACCTGGATTCTGTTACCCTCCCAGAAAACAGCAGGATCAGGTAAAGGAGCAACAGGAAGGGCAAAGATGTGGAACTTCATGACGGTGGAGGTCCTAATTCTGCCATTCATAGGTGAGGGGAATGGGAGCCAGGTCAGGCAGTAGAGACTGAGCTTGAAAAAACTAAATTTCAATATATTTGTGATCATAATAGCCCCATTAGGAAGCTGTGTCTTATATTCAGATTTGTGGGCTTGGAAAAGTGGCCTTTTCTGGTAGGGTCATTTGACTAATAGATGTAAGTATGTGATGGTTACAGTGTATCTGTACTGCAGCAAGGTGCATGACAAAGATTTTTATTTTTATGACATCTTGGTGAACAAGATGGAGGAAACATGAGCTGGAACATCATTCCTTTAGTTGGATTCTGAAATAATTTTTTTAAAACGTACTATTATTTATTGAGCACTTACTATGTGCCAGGCATTGTGCTAAGTACTTTATGTGCATTAATTATTTAATCCTTACAACAGCCTGATGAGCTATGTGTTATTAGCTCCATCATACAGATGAGGAAACCATTTACAAAGGGTGCTAATTATTGACTCTCTGTTTCTCTAGAGCAGGAAATCTTAAGTGTGTGTGCGTGTATGGGTCGGGGTGGGGGGGGAGGATGGGTAAGGGTACATTCTCTGAGGGCTTTATCAGAATCACCTGGATGAGAGTTTTTCTGAACCACATAGGCCTTTCTTTGCCATTACAGTACTCCCTAGAGTACTGTAGGGAGTACTGTAAGAGTACTTTAGAAGGCCTGCCCCTCCTTAGGTATCTCTGATGTTTTATGAGCTACTGTGATTGATGTGAATGGGTGGTAGGAAGGGCCCTCGGGTGTATTGAAGGAAGAAAAAAGGTTGAGCTTCACTATTACAAAGAGAGATCCTTGGCGGTAGGCTGTATAGCTCTGTACCTGGCTCTGTCTTGGCTTCAGCATTTTAATTAATGTCTTGGATGGAGATGTATAAAAGTATGCTTATCAAACATTGAGAGAAGTGGACTGGGAGGGGAAGTATATATACTGGATGACAGAACCAGGAATTCAAGAAGAATTTACTAGACTACAAAGATGGTTCAAAACCAACAAAATTAATTTCATAAGAATAAATGTGACATCTTGCATAAGTTTCATAAAATTAAAAAAAACCTTGCAATTCTACAGGATGAGGATATGTTTAATATTGCTGCCAAAAAAGTTAATAGAAACTCAGGCTGCATTAATAGTAGTATAGAGTCTAGAATGAGGGAGGTGATGACTCCACTTTTTGTAAGTTTGTAGAACCATACCTCAAGTATTGTGCTCAGTCATGGCAATTATCTTTTAAAGAGGGACAAAGACAAAACAGAGGTTAAGAAGAGAAGGCTGGTGGGAAGGGTGAGGCATGATTGCTGTCTTCCACTATCTGTAGGGGTAATAAGAAAGAGGATTTTATCTGTACGATGTGACCCCAAGGGACAGAATTAGGGTTGCTAGGTGGAAGTTATAGCAGAGCTGACTGAAGATGAAATGGGCTATGTTAGAAGGGAATGAGTTCTCTATCATAGGAAACATTTAAGCAAAAGCTGGCTGACTACTTGTTAGGGATTTAAGTTTTGCTACAAAACCTCAAATGCAGCCTTAATTGTACAGTTCAATGGCTTGAGAGAATTTGCCATGAGCATTTCTTGAATGTTCTTTGTCTGGTTGATGGAGGGGGTGGTGATCAGAAAGGAGAGGTATAGGGTAAACCCTGATAATAACTAGTAAATCAAAGGAAACTCTGGGGTTAGCTGGTGTGGCCCAGCCAAGGATGACACCGAAGGAAGGAAACATTTACCAAGCACCTAGTATACGCCTGGTGCTTTTACACATATTATTTCTTAATTTTCACAACACTTTCTTAATTAGAAATGCTAATAATTATTAATTATTAACATTTCTTTTACGGATGAGAAAACGGAGGCTCAGAGAGGTTAAGTGACTTGCCCAAGGTCATGCATCTAGTAAGTGACTTGGGGGAGCACATCAGAACCATATGTAGGGAAAAATGTGACAAAATTTCTACTTTTTACCTGATCACTTCTCCAGTTAAGTAAAGAGCTGGTATTGCCAGAGGCAAGGCAGGACTGTGTGGACAAGTGCGTCATGCTGGGCTGGGTGCCTGGAGTAGATGAGAATATCATGAAGATATATGATCAGCCTCTAGTCCAGCAGGTCCTGGAGGATGGTGTTGGAATGCAGCTGAGCTATTACACAAGCTAAATGGCATGACTGTTTATTCATAATCTCTGTACCTTATACGGAACACTATCTTCCATAGACTCTCAGAATGGCACTGCTGTAAGAGGATGTAAAGATCTTCAAAGTCCAGACAAGCCTATCTATTTTGAAGAACAGGGAACTGTGGTCCAGAGAGGAAAAAGGACTTCTACAACTGCTTCCACTTAATAATTTTGCCCCTGATATTGCTAGGGATTTATTTTTTTTAAATGTAATCTAGCAAATTTAGGATTAGAATTTTTTAGAGCAGATTACTTTTTCAGGAAGGACCAACTCCCCCATGAAATTTGCTGCTCTGTTTCAGAGCTACAAGATAGATATATAATGTTCTGGTTTGTTTTTTTCCTAGTATTATAGAAGCTAGCATAATAAAAACAGAAAAAGCATCAACTTTAGAATTAGACAGATTGGGTTTAATTTCTTTACTGGAACCCATGGGAAATTCTTTAACTTCTTTGAGCCTCAGATTCATTCCCTGTGAAAATAGGAATACTAATAGTTTGATTTTAGCCATGTACAATTTGAGGTGCTTGTGGAAAATCCAGGTGGAGAGATTTAGGAAAAGCTGAAGCTCAGGAGAATGTCTCAGTCTGGAGATACAGATTTGAGAATCAACAGCCAGGGCGAAGGTACATAAAGCCACATGCATGGATGGCATAGCCTAGGCTTAGTGATCTCTTCCACATGACGGCTCTTCAGCTAGTTGAGGTTGACAATCATGTTATCCAGATTGTTCAATTTTCTGGGTATAACATACCTAGATTTCAGAATTATCTTTGA